TGAGCACTATTTTCCTCTTGTGCTCACTCCCACCTGCTCTTCACGGATGCAGGTTATGCAGGTGCCGGATGACGGAGGATGACGAGTGGGTCGATGGTTGACATGTTTTTTTATGATTATGCTTCCGTTTATGAATAATATGTGGTGTCTGAGAACCTCTTTTGATTGAGATACTTTGAACTATTTTCAAAACGTATTTTGAGAACTTATGGTCGAATGATTGGTTTTGGATATTCATAAAGGTTTTATCTATTGAATATCATGTGCATGCTATATTGTTTAGCAAATAATAATGTAGAGTTGGGTTCTGAAAGGTTAACAAAAACCATGTGAACAACCAGATATGACTTGGGTTGATGTTTAGTGTTGAATAACGCCCATGATTTCGAAAATGAGTTTCGAAAATTTTATACTGATTTTTGGAAAGTCCGGAATTTCTTTAAATCAAAGTGGGGTGTTACAGTTTGGTATCAGAGCCAGTCTGCATTTCTGTAGACTGGCACATATGTGATTATGTGTTTAGACCTTGTGTTATGACCACTCGTCTCCGTCACTCCGTGCTGCTTAAGGTATGTTTTGATTTAAGTACTTGTGATATAATTGATGCACATGTAGTAATGAAACTACTCGTGATGAACTTGTGAGTTACTTATTATCTATGGGGCATAGGATCTATCCACCTTGAATTAATCGAACTCTAGTGTTTGTGGCGAACTCTAGACTTCTGATGTATTATTGTTTGTTTTCTGTGCTATCTTTGCTCGACTTATTCAAATGTAGAAGTATGAATACTTACAACCGTAATCGTCAGCCATCCCCATCTCCTTCTCCTCCTCGTCGTCAGCGCCAGGCCCCTCCGGCCATGGACCTCACTCAGCTGATTGTTCAGTTTCAGCGCATGAATGCGCCAACTTTCTCGGGGACAGAGAACCCCACAGCTGTGCTTGAGTGGATGAAGGAGCTGGACAAAATCTTTGTTGTACTCCCCCTCCCCGATCGTCAGCGCGTGTCTCTTGCGGCGTATCAGATGAAGGAAGACGCCTCAGATTGGTGGATTGAGCTTTGGGCTCGGAGGCCCGAGACGGAGCTCCATGCTCTCACTTGGGAGCAAATGAAAGTGATGGTGCGCAGTAAGTTC